ATCATATAAACCGAGTTTCTTTTGTGTGTGCTGCTGGGCCACCCTGCTTTCTAAGAAATCGGCATCAGGCATAAAAAAAAATCAATATCGGTCAACCACTAAACATAGGACAAATATAATACACAATACTCAATGTTATACTTACATTTCTGTCGTCGAAGTTTGTTGATAGGATTCTGCTGGCACTGGTTCTAGTGTTATTGTTGCCACCTCCTTCATCTCGTACACATTTGTTAAACTTGGCCTGTTTTTTAAAGGAGCCTTGACATAAATGTGAGATCATGTTCTCCGTGAGACCACACTCTACCGTTTCCACCTCATTTTCTGAAAGAGAGAAAAAAGAATGATCAGTGTGAGCTCAAGGTTTTAACAATTATTTAAACAATAAAGTCAATGTATTTTTTTAATGGGCATTAATCAGTATAAAAAAAATTACTTCTATTTAGAAAAGTACACAATAACTCTATGTATACACACTCAGAAAAAGGTACACAACTGTCACTGGTGCAGTACCTTAAGGTACAAAAGCTAAAAGGTACTAATATGTACACTAACAGAGAAATTTACTTTTTTTCTGAGAGTGTATGATTAGAAGCAATATTATTTAAATTAGCAGCTCAAATACTAGAAACTTATTTCACGAGTTTTTACCAGTTTTGATAAATAATGGTAAACAAATTTAACTTGACTTGCTGTTCTTGGAAGGGCTCAAAGCCGACGCACGCCTCGATGTCCGAGCTAAATCGCCTCAGTTGATTGCTGCTTAAGTACCGGTAGTTCGCTCGTGATGACTGACAGGACTAAATGATTAGGACACTCCTGGACTTATTTAGAACATTTTTATTTTATATGTACCAAATAAAACTGATATAAATCAACACGGATGATATTCGTAAATTATATAATTTCAAACTGACTAGGAGAGGCGTTAAAATAAAACAAGAGAGGCATTCGCTTGCGTCCGGTGTGAACACGGGTAACGTTAACAGTAAGAAAATAATGGGAAACTGAATTTATAAATCTGTGGTTCCACATTGAGACCCAGCTTTAGTGAAAATAAAAGCCGAGTCACACAAAACGCGATGGGTTTGAACTGTTTCTATGGCCGTCTCACCCAGCGTCTCGAGCACTGTCTCGCGGTAGAGTACAAGTTATGCGAAAAGTAACATTTAAATTTCTGGCTAAATAATAAAAACAATTGTTATAATAACAATAAGCTTACAATTGAATAACAATGCGTTGGTTTTGTCAGGTCAGTGTTTTCGCGTTTCCCTCACGCGTCAGGTAAGTTAGGCCTAGCTACAGACGCAATGCCAAGTGAACATGACTACAAAGGGAACCAACGGATTTTCACAGTACTTAAAACTAAACTTACCTCTGAATTTCTGTGCTTCGTCTTCAGTGACATGTATTCCAGCTTCTCTCAATTTTTGAAGAGGATCCTCCATCAACAGCGTCAGAAGTGAGACATCGTTGATATGGAATAACCGTCGTGCTCACAATCTCAATTTTGCGCGCATAAAACGCAGCGCGGGCTATAATCCCATTGGACGACACCAATTTAAAGAATGGCTGCGAAAATGTGTACTTGAACTTAGGCAAAGTAAAAGTACCCCATATAATGTTAAATAAACGTTAAATAGTTTCGTCTACATTGTGCTTTTGTTAAGAAAGATTAGTACATGTATTTGTTTAACTCTAAATGAATTACAATTACAATTAAAAATGCAGGCCTACTTTAATACATTTTCTTTATGTTTAAAAGTTATTATCTTGATGCTCTGAATAATCATTTAAATGTCATGCGTTTGTATACTGTTCAGAACTAGTCAGTAAAGATGTGGGCTCTTAAATATATTTGGTTATGTTGTGCATCTCTTCCAAATAACCAACAACTCATGAAAATTAATATCTTACTCTGTTTAATCTATTTTGGGTGACCGTTTCATACACTTTGGCTTACTCCTTTTGTCACACAAGTGATTGTACCTTTGTTTGGGGATTAAATGGTCCAAACATGGACCCTCTGACAGTTGGAAACATATTTGTACATTTTTTTTTACCCCTAAATGGTACATATGAGTACCCTAAGGTGTAACTATGACCCATTAAGGGTACAACTTCACCATTTGTACCCTAAGTGTTCACATGTTCTCCGTGAGACCACACTCTACTGTTTCCCCATCCACCTCATTTTCTGAAAAAAAAAAAAAAAAAGAATGATCAGTGTGAGCTCAAGGTTTTAACAATTATTTAAACAATAAAGTCAATGTATTTTTTTAATGGGCATTAATCAGTATAAAAAAAATTACTTCTATTTAGAAAAGTACACAATAACTCTATGTATACACACTCAGAAAAAGGTACACAACTGTCACTGGTGCAGTACCTTAAGGTACAAAAGCTAAAAGGTACTAATATGTACACTAACAGAGAAATTTACTTTTTTTCTGAGAGTGTATGATTAGAAGCAATATTATTTAAATTAGCAGCTCAAATACTAGAAACTTATTTCACGAGTTTTTACCAGTTTTGATAAATAATGGTAAACAAATTTAACTTGACTTGCTGTTCTTGGAAGGGCTCAAAGCCGACGCACGCCTCGATGTCCGAGCTAAATCGCCTCAGTTGATTGCTGCTTAAGTACCGGTAGTTCGCTCGTGATGACTGACAGGACTAAATGATTAGGACACTCCTGGACTTATTTAGAACATTTTTATTTTATATGTACCAAATAAAACTGATATAAATCAACACGGATGATATTCGTAAATTATATAATTTCAAACTGACTAGGAGAGGCGTTAAAATAAAACAAGAGAGGCGTTCGCTTGCTTCCGGTGTGAACACGGGTAACGTTAACAGTAAGAAAATAATGGGAAACTGAATTTATAAATCTGTGGTTCCACATTGAGACCCAGCTTTAGTGAAAATAAAAGCCGAGTCACACAAAACGCGATGGGTTTGAACTGTTTCTATGGCCGTCTCACCCAGCGTCTCGAGCACTGTCTCGCGGTAGAGTACAAGTTATGCGAAAAGTAACATTTAAATTTCTGGCTAAATAATAAAAACAATTGTTATAATAACAATAAGCTTACAATTGAATAACAATGCGTTGGTTTTGTCAGGTCAGTGTTTTCGCGTTTCCCTCACGCGTCAGGTAAGTTAGGCCTAGCTACAGACGCAATGCCAAGTGAACATGACTACAAAGGGAACCAACGGATTTTCACAGTACTTAAAACTAAAATTACCTCAGAATTTCTGTGCTTCGTCTTCAGTGACATGTATTCCAGCTTCTCTCAATTTTTGAAGAGGATCCTCCATCAACAGCGTCAGAAGTGAGACATCGTTGATATGGAATAACCGTCGTGCTCACAATCTCAATTTTGCGCGCATAAAACGCACCGCGCGGGCTATAATCCCATTGGACGACACAAATTTAAAGAATGGCTGCGAAAATGCGTACTTGAATTTAGGCAAAGTAAAAGTACCCCATATAATGTTAAATAAACGTTAAATAGTTTCGTCTACATTGTGCTTTTGTTAAGAAAGATAAGTACATGTATTTGTTTAACTCTAAATGAATTACAATTACAATTAAAAATGCAGGCCTACTTTAATACATTTGCTTT